AAAAATTTTCTGTCATGGAAGTAGCGTTACCATGCGTTGACTATTAAATTGAATTTTTCGTAAATTTTTTTTATCTTTAGAAAATATGCAAAAAAGTATATAAAATTCCAATTCTGAAAAATCTCAATATCATTAAAAAATCTGAATTTTGAAGATAACTCTTCGTTTTTGGTAGCGCTGATATAGAGAGAAACTCAGAGAAAAATGAAGAGAGATTCATATAGATAAAATTATAAAAGGACGAAGGTATTAATTAAAATATATCTATTTAAAAAGTAGTTCGACTCGTTCGAAGCCGCTAGTTTTCGTTTGTTTGCCACTTCCACTATTATCAAAATGTTATATGATATTAAGAGTAAAAACAAGTAAAACGTTTCAGTCGGTATTCAGTCGTTTCAGTCGACTGAATAATTATTCATAACCCGCACCTTGACAATCCAAGTTTAAAAATTTGTTTTTGAAATATCTAGAATTAGCTTTCATTGTTGTATTCCAATTACTCGAATCTGTCAAACCTCAATATAGAAACTTCACACAACTTTAGGAGTTTTTGAGAGCTCCATTGTTGGACAAACAACTCCCAAGTTTCATGAATCTAACTTTATTGTTATTTCGAATATTTTAAATACGCTTTTGTAGTTCTGTGGAAGCTACCCGAACCTGTCAAGACATATAGTTGCATGACATCTACCCGAACTAGTGCAGCCATTCCGTTAAAATTTTCAGAATATATGAAAAATATTATTGGACACACGTTTGCAAATTTTGATATTAATATCTTTATTAGTTTTTGAAATATTTAAAAAACCTCTTTAAGTTGTATGGCAGGCACCCGAACCTGTTGTTCGAATTGGTCCAATTACAATAACAGTCGTCTATAGCAGAAAAAAAACAACTTACGAAAATTTGGTGTCTATTGCATTATTCGTTTTTGAGTCATCGTGTGATCGGGCGAACGGATGGAAGGAGGGATGGACATATCTATATCAACATAAAATTTTACGCTGAGCAAAAATATATATACATATCCGAATACCGGAGACAACTCCTTCAAGTGATTCCAAATTTCATACTAAGGTGAATATACCCTTTTTTGTATAAATGAAATTTCATTTACTTTCATAAAAACAAAAATTATGATAAGTTATGATAATCGATGTGTAACCATGTAAAAATCATGCCCGAAAATGAATCAATACGGTAATATTTTAAAGTTTGGTGTTCAAAAATGTCAAAAATACGCATCGTACGCGCATCATATTAAATTAGCTGTGCATCAATTTTTTTGTGATTTTGTATTGATGCATTCTAGGGTTATGAAGTATTTTTATTACCGACACGTGTGCATGCATATTCCAAGAAAATATGCTTTTATACAGACAAGATTAAAGTAAAAAGAAAAAATTCATTACATATTTATATTTATGCTATTTACTGACAATTATTAATTACAAGCAAACATTTTTTTTCATCATTTTTTAAAATTATATAATTTAAAACTTTTTTTTAGTTTAACACTCTAATTTTCTTTTTGAATCGCTTCACTTTTATAGTGCGAATTTTTGCTACCTCGTCCTGGAAAGAAAGGAAACTGCCGCTTTTAAAATTCTTAACATTTTTCCCTTTAGTTTATATGCGAACAAATAAGAAACTCCTGCTTTTAAAAACACATAAAAAAAAAATCTTTCACAAAAATTTTTATGTGTATAATATTGAAAACAAGAAAGTATACTTCTAAACTCTTTTAGCTAAAACTAAAGAGATTTTTTGTGTACAAATGTTGGTGAGTGATTGCGTTAGTGTGATGTAAACGGAAGGTCGAGTCGTTGAATTAGAAATACTAAAGTAAGGAGCATCTTGAAAAAACAATAAAGCCAAATTCTTTCCAGTTGTCTCTTTCTTTGTTTCGAGCGTTGCCAAAGCCAAAATTTATTTTATTTTCTTATTTGGCCCCTGCTATAAAAAATGTGTAATTTGTAAAAAAATTAGTTAAAACTTATTTTAAAGAAAAAACTAAAAAATATTTTAATATTTTTAGTAAATTTTTTAATTTGAAATATTTTCTTTCCAACATTAAATTATTAAAATAAATATTATTCACACACATATGGAGGGAAACTTCCATTTGTTTTTCAAATAAGTGCAACAATTTGGAATTGTGAACTTCTTTCTCCTTGCAAAGTACTGTTTTCCTTTTTACAAATTTCTTTTATAAAATTTTTTCAAAACAATAATATATTTTTTACCACTTTTTTTATTGTTTTCTCAAAAGTTCATTCATATTATTTAATTTTATAACTAAAATCACAAAATTTTTTTGTTAACTATTGAAACAAGCGAAAATGGCCTATTTTTCCAAGAAAAAAAAAATAACATTTGGCATTTAATGTCAATTTTAATTTGATAATGCTTGGAGCAAAGAAAGAGACTTACCTGAAGTTTTTGACTTCACTATGTTTTTTTTCAAGATACGATTTTTTAGGGATTGTAAGCGGGATAAAAACAAATATGCTTCTTTCTTCAGTATTTCTAATTCGTTTGGACGAACTACTTCTTAAATAAATATACTTTGATTAAGATGACAACTTAAATGAGTAAAACAGGTTTTGTAAAATTTTTCATTAACTTTGAATAAAAGCATACATACGTACACAGTTATACATATTATATACTTTTATTAATATTCTAAAAATTTGATTAAAATTTAATAAAAATTAAATTTTTTAATAATGTTCGGATTAATTTAATGTAAACAACAAAAAAAATTTAAAATATTAAAAAATATGATAAAAAAGAGATTCTCTCAAAATGTTCTCAAAAAATTATAATTGGATAAATTACAATGAAAATAAAATGTCTAAAATCAGTATTGCCATATGTTAATGCTTTTTTATTATTCTTCGTGTATACTTATATTAAAATTAATAGAAATTAGGAATAATAAATTTCAATTCTTAAAATAAGAAAATTTCTTGAAAGGATTGATTCTCATCCTTCCCTCCCAAATTTAAAATTGAATCTGAATTAAAAACGGTTCCGTTCCGCATTACATTTCATTTATCGAAAACGATAGTTACATATCTGGGAATTATCCTATTCTAAGCATTCAAGATATCGCAAGAATAGGGCAATATAGTTTTGCAACATAAACTGTATATGTAGAAATATAATAAATTTCACTAATAATAATTATTAAATCTTACTATATACGATGACAGCCAAGTGATCCGATATATTCCCACCACTAGATGACAGTTGATCATTCGACATAAGAAATAAATTAACAGAAGTCCATACTATTACACTTGAGAGATTTTGTTGTCGTATTTTAAGGTTAGTGTCGGAATAAACTCCAGTAACTGAAGCCATACTACTACAATGTAATAGTATAGAAACATACCATATTATTTGACGACAGTGATACTGTCGTCAAGTTTTAAATGATTGCCGTAATAAAAATTAAATTTTTATTTTAATCAAATTGGATCCAATTGGCAATACTCAAGAAATACATATATGTATATCCATATACATATGTACAAAATACCTTGATTTTTTCTCACTATACTATGATATTACATAACGTGATTCTTTTTATTGTTATTATTATGGATAGATAAAAAAATAGAAATAATAAAAAAAAATAGAATATAACATCGGTTAAGAAGCAGAAAGCACGAAGTCAGAAAGCTGTGTTTTCAGTAAATTCAACTTGAAAAAATCGTAATATTGTAAAGCTAAGAAATTAGTGCAACTGAATCGGCATCCATAATTTTAAACTGTATTCCAGGCTTGTATGATTTTTTGCCACAAGGAAGACTATGTTTTTCTAATTTAATTCATGTAGATTACTGAAATTGTCCATAAATGCACTTAGTACTTTCTGATTTTTACACGAAGAAAATGTAGTATACGTAGGGAACAGAACAAAAGAATACAACTAAAAGAAATGAATAAAGGAAATATTACAATGTGTGTGTGGTGTGGTGAGTACTGAGTATAAGTGACAGGGCTGTCGTTTGGCTACAATCGGAGCCATTTGTCTCCAAGTTTTTAAAATTTTTTCTCCCCGATTTAAAAATAATTAAAATATTAAATAATTAAACTTTTTTTGCAGTACATAAGATGAATTTGATGACAAAAGCCGCTGTTCGTTAGCCACGAAATTATGTTCATATACCTTTTTCTGCTAATTCAAAAGTCAATACCTATTTTTAGTTATCAAGTTAATTAGTTAGTTAAAGTGGCAAATAACCAAACTTAGGAAAACTCGTCCACGTCAGCAAATGAAATCTGTTTGTATAGAATAGACGATAATATTGCGATTTTGACATTTTAATTGAAGTTGATCGAATATATTATTGAAAACTTGAAAAATTTTTTTCAAGTCCGCACTGAAAGCGTGTTTTCTTCTGTTAATCTGATTAATATTAAATTGAGAAACTCATTATATATTGAAATGGTATTTCAAAATATTGATGTGAAAAGCTGGGAACCAGGTTATAATCTTATTTAAACTTACAAAAAGAAAATTTTAAGTATATGTTTTTTTTTTATTTGAAGTACGCTTTGTCAAAACCATTTTGATCCACGTGTAAGGAAATGATTAAGGCGGTAAACATATGGTCAGAAAAAAAACGTCACAATCATTTTTATGAGTTTGTTTTTAGTATTTTAAGATATTTATTTTCTGATCGTTATAGAGCTTAAACTTTAAAAAATGTAGAAACGTATATAAAGTTTCATTTAAAAAATATTATTGTGATTAGATAATGCTTCCGATTTTTTTTCGTATTCGTATGCATTATTATATTTTCGTATATTTTCGTATGCGTATAAAAAATTGTATTTTTATGATACTAATATAGGATTTGGCTCTATGTTTTTGAATATTTCTGTTCCCCACCAAAAAAATCAAACGACAGCCCTGATAAGTGAACGTTATGGTTTTTCCGTTTTCATTGTTTTTCTTTTTTTTCTCTGCCAATTTGGATATTAAAATTTTTTGTTCTTTTATTTGTTTGGATATAAAAAAATTTTTACACGACTGAAAATAGTAGGGAATAGTAAACGAGTGAGTGGCGATATGATAGGTTTTTGAGATTTTTTTGTTAGTTTTTTTTAAATTTTTTGTTGCCTTTTTTTTGTTTTTCTTTTTTATTGTGTGTTGTCGTTGTGCCGTGTGTGTGTTTTTAATAAAATTCAAAAAAAAAAAAATTATTAAATAACAGCAGCAGATTTTCTTTTGTTTTTTTTTTTTGCAAAATTTTCTTTTAATATGAAGTGTCAAATTTAAACAATACGGAAGAAAACGAAAAAAAAAATAGATAAAAAAAGAAAATAGAATTTTTTTTAGATTTTACTTTTGGCATTTGCATTTTTTTTAGTGTAGAAAATATAAAAAAATAAATAACATAAATAAATAAATTATTAGTAAATTTCAGAATCTCATCAAATTTTGTTTTGAAAATTTCTACAAAAAAAAATTATAAAAAAGGAAGAAAAAAAAAACAGAAGAATTTAAAATAAAAAATCATTGCAAAATTAAGCAAAAAAAAAGCAAAATAAGAAAAATAGAAAAAAAACAAGAAAAAATTAATATTACATTTGTTGTAGAACAAAAAAATACACAAAAATACCAACAATAACAACAACTGAATAATAACAATAAAAGTAAGTGGATATTTTCTTAAAAAAAAAAGATTAACAACAATAGCAAGTAAAATTAAAAATAATTAATTTTTTTTTTTTCTCGTTATGTGTGCTGTTCTTGAATATATTTAAATCATTTACAAAAAATTTCCAAAAGAAAAGTGCTGATTTTTATACCCTGCACTTCGTGAAGGGTATATTAACTTTGGTATGGAGTTTGTAACTACTTGAAGGAGTCATCTGCGGTATGGACATATATATATATTCTTGCTCAGCGTAAAATTCTGCGTCGATTTAGACATGTCCGTCCGTCCGTCCGTCCGTCCGTCCGTCCGTCCGTCCGTCCGTCCGTCCGTCCGTCCGATCGCACGATAACTCAAAAACGAATAATGCAATCGACACCAAACTTTCACAAGTTGTTTCTTTTGTGCCAAGGACGAACCCTATTGTTATTGGACTAATTCGGACAACGGGTTCGGGTAGCTGCCATACAACTCAAAGAGTTTATTTTAAATATTTCAAAAACTAATAAAGGTACAAATATAAAATTTTGTATACATGTGTCCAATTATATTCTACATATGCTCTAAAAATTTTAATAATATAGCTGCACCGGTTCGGGTGGCTGCCATACAACTCCAAAAGCAAATTTCTTATATTCGGCAAAATAATAAAGTCAGATTCATGAAACTTGGCAGTCATGTGTCCAATTATAGGTCAGATATATTTCTGAAGTTTTAGTGGAATTGCTTGACAGGTTGGGGTACCTGCCATACAACTCCAAAAGCAAATTTTTTATATTCGGCAAAATAATAAAGTCAGATTCATGAAACTTGGCAGTCATGTGTCCAATTATAGGTCAGATATATTTCTGAAGTTTTAGTGGAATTGCTCTACAGGTTCGGGTACCTGCCATACAATTCCAGAAGCTAATTTTAAATATTTGGAAGAATAATCAAGTCAGATTCATGAAACTTGGCAGTTGTGTGTCCAATTATAGGTCAAAGATATTTCTGAAGTTTTGGTGGAATCCCTTGACAGGTTCGAGTGGCTCCCATACAAGCCCAAAAGCTTATTTTAAATATTTGGAAAAATAATAAAGTCAGATTCATAAAACTTGGCAATCGTGTGTCCAATTATAGGTCAAAGATATTTCTGAAGTTTTGGTGGAATTGCTTGGTAGGTTCGAGAAGCTCCCATACAAGTCCAAAAGCTTATTTTAAATATTTGGAAAAATAAAAAAGTTAGATTCATGAAACTTAGCAGTTGTGTGTCCAATTATAGATCAGATATATTTGCGAAGTTTTAGTGAAATTGCTTGACAGGTTCGGGTAGCTGCCATACAACTCAAATAGTTTATTTTAAATATTTCAAAAACTAATAAAGGTACAAATATAAAATTTTGTATACATGTGTCCAATTATATTCTACATATGCTCTAAAAATTTTAATGAGATAGCTGCACCGGTTCGGGTGGCTGCCATACAACTCCAAACGCAAATTTTTTATATTCGGCAAAATAATAAAGTCAGATTCATGAAACTTGGCAGTCATGTGTCCAATTATAGGTCAGATATATTTCTGAAGTTTTAGTGGAATTGCTTGACAGGTTGGGGTACCTGCCATACAACTCCAAAAGCTAATTTTAAATATTTGGAAAAATAATAAAGTCAGATTCATGAAACTTGGCAGTTGTGTGTCTGTTATAGGTCAAACATATCCGTAAAGTTTCTATAGAATGGTTTCACAGGTTTGAGTAATTGCTATACAACAACGAAAGGTGCAGGGTATAATTCAATCGGTTTATACCGACTGAAACGTTTTTACTTGTTATTTCCTCTATTTTGCACATACGAATTCATTTCAAAAATAAGTAAGTACACTCACCAAAAAAACGGTGACAATTTAAAATCAGAAAATTGAAGGGCAAAAAAATTAAATGATTAGGTTGCCGTTGCTTTTGCCGCCTTGTAAATCAAAAATTGACTATGTGCAAAAGATTCCTTCTTTTTTTAAAAAAAATAATTCGAAAATTAAAAAAGAATAAATTTGGAATTGAAATCGAAGTCGAAAGCAAAGTTTTTTTATAAATCTTTCTTTAAAAATCTGATTAATTTGGTTATAACGGGTTGCATTTATGTACATACATATATGGATGGTTCTGCTATATTCCATATATAATAATTTAAGAAACTCCAGTTCTTAATTTATATATTGAAGTTACCATTTTGCTTTATATAACAAAAAAAAAATAATAAAGAATTTTCGAAAAAATTCCAAAATGAAGTTCGTTAAAAGTGGTCCAAGTATAAAAATACATAAAAAAATTATTGTTTAGAAATTATAACATAGTTCCTTTCCCTTTGAATTTCATAGTATCTTTAAATGCGGTTAATTTCTGCTTTTAAATGTAATCAATGCCTTTTAAATAATGCAGTCAAATTGTTGCAGATAATATATATTCAATCATTTTGCTTTTAATTACCCAACTGCACGACAATATTTAATTTGTTTTTGTACATATAGTGATAAATATATTAAGTAAATATGTAAAATGTGTAAAATGCTCTATGTGCATGTATTTATAAAATTCATAATCATTCAGAATTCAAAAAAATATAAAAAATTGTATTTTTAATTTTTCATTGATTTTAATGGAATTGTACGTAAAATTACACGACATATGTATTTTAAATATAATCCACAAATTATGGAATCCAAAATTCAATTTAATTAGAATTACTATGAAATTGAATTTTAATTTCAGTATGTGTAAACACACTATGTATATTTATGGAGATTTTGAGATAACGGGATGTGGTTTAGGTTTTCATTAATTTATCGTTGCACATGAATAATTTTTGAAACATTTTTTTTTAAAGTGGATCTTATTTCAAGCACTTGAAATTGCTTCATCAATTATTACTATAATATTTATAAAATTATTTTTATTTGGTTTTACTAGAATAGTAAGAAACAACAATTTCTTTTAGTGTATGATTGGATGTATTGTTTTTGAGTTTTATACAAATATGATATACACATAATATAACAATTATTCCAAGCATTATATGAGTATTTAAAAAACAAATATTATTCAATCATTGAATTTTTTATTTTTTTTTTGTTTTTTTTTTGTGAATTCTCCCCCATGAAAATTCTGTTATTTTTATTCCATTATAAGAAAACTTTTGAAAAAACAAAAAGCAACAATAATAAATGAAAATAAAATAGGCCTGTATATACAAACAATGAAGAAATTTATAGTTCTCCATTATATTACGTCTACTTATGTGTTGGTAACATAATGGGGAACAATATGAATTATGTAAAAAAAAATATGTATAACTAGTTAACACAAAAGGATTAAGGAAAAAATTTATTTAATTAATTTATTTAGCTTGGTATCCACCTATTGTTCTTGTTCTGTTCCTCTTACATCCGATCCCATTTACCACATACTCCTGTCTCAACATATGTGTACAATTAATCTCAATTAAATGGAAAAAAAATTTTCAAAAATATTTTAAAATTCAAGTTGTCATTCATAAAAATATTGATTGATTGATGAGAAGAGAAATTAACAAAAAAAAAACCCACAAAAAAAATGTAACTAGATCTAAAAGAGGATGGTGGGTGACAAAATAAAATATTGGGTAACTATTTGACAACAATAAGTTCATTTATAAACGTAAACTCATATGCGATTTTAAAAATGACAACTTACGTCACACAAATATAATTATAGTGAGTTGAGTATAATCGTTTATAGAGCGATTTGACGTATACATAATATTGTATGAGAATTGATATAGTATTGAGAGTAAGCATTTGATATTTAAAATTAGGATTTTTTTTTATTTTTTTTTTTTTATTTTGGAATTAATATAAAACGAAAAAAAAATAGAGTTGACTGTGTCAGATCTGTGATATCCGTACGAATTTGTTATCCTATGTGCAAATAAATATGCCATAGCTGAATATGGGACAGACTATGACTTTAAGTTGCCGTATTAATTATGCAAAATTTCAGCATTGTGATTTCAATATTTTCTAAGATATGGCCAAACTACTATTGAAGTTGTATAGTAGCTATCAGAAGGAGTTCTTTTCACGAAATTTTTATATTATAGCTCCAATAATTTCTAAGATATTGCCAAATAACTTTTCAAGTTGTATGTCAGCTACCAGAGGGAGCCAAGCAATTTCAATGACTTTTATCAAACACATTGACCCTACTAATATATTCATTTGTGCGAAATTTCAATACCACAGCTTTTATAGTTTGTTGTCAAATAACTTTTGAAGTTGTATGGCAGCTATCAGAAGGAGCCAAGCAGTTTCAACATCAGTTACCGTTCAAATCAACTCAAGTTACCGTTGAAATGACGGACGGACGGATGGACAGACAAAGCTAAATCGAGTCAAAATTCGTCGCTGATCAAAAACATACATATACTTAAGTCTATGTCTCACACCATTATTTTTTAGCGTTACAAACGGTAAGGCAAATCTAGTATAGTTTTCGAACATACGTTCGTGCAGGTATAAACAGGAATAATAAAACATAAGCTTAGTGATTCAGTTTTGTATTGTGTATTGTATTGTATAATTTAGAAATGAGCCTGGTGGTTGACCCATAAAATAGCCCTTATCAGTTTATCTATGTTGCAAATTTTTTGATATATGAATGTGGTCTGATATTACGTACATGTGGTCTGATCGCATGTTCTACGAAGTTAATTAAATTACAATTAATAAATTGTATAAACGAAGATGAAAAATACTATGTTACCAAAACTTTGTCAAGGTGGGCACCGTCCGTTTAAAGCAAAAACATATACTAATACTAATTATTACACAAAATACAACTCTTTTTCAAACATTTTCATTGTGCTAGTTGTTATCCTATAGATGCGAAGTTAAACTTTTTCAGACTTTTTTAAGAACTTTTCCAAAAATATTTTGAAAAAAAGTGCTTATTTGTGTCACTCTGTCCGTCCGTGGACATGCTTACAAAACTTCTACACCCTTCAAGATAAAAAGTTGAAATTTTATATGTACATATATCTTTATTAAAAACTTACTGCCGTAGAGGTAATTTGCTATCTGCCTCTCTACAAGTTATTTCCCCCCAAAACCCTAGAAATGCCATTTTTTAACCATTTATTGCAGTATTATATTTGAACTTTAAAAAAACAAAATGGCCGTTAAAATTTATCCATTTTTTATAAATTTTTGAAGTAGTTTTTCATCTAAACCACAGATTGTAAAAGTCTGAAATTTTAACAGCTTTTAGACACTAATAAATAGTTAATTTCCTTAGAAGAAAATTTTTTCCAACCTCTACCCCCTCTCAAGTTATCGCCACTCGAAATTTGTAAAATTTGAATTTTTGGCACCTTATACGCTTAAAATCGAGCATTATGTTAAAACCTCTTTAAATTTATTTTTGCTTTATTTCAAAGACTTGCATAAATCGCTCATCCTAAATATATGCAATCCTTAGATATATGCAATAGATTGTTTTCAGAAGCAGTATTTGCACTTGTTGAAGGGAAAAGTGCTACAGTACAAACCATTGGTTTAAATCAATTTCATTATTATATTCAATGAATGTATTTTACAACTGAAAGTGTATTTTTGTTCAACATTAAAAATTTTACTGTTTTTTTTAATGAATTTTGTTTGTTATATTTTAAAGAATAACAAAAATTAGAAAAAAAAAAATGAAGAAAAGAAATTAACAATAATAATAAACCAAGGACGTTAGAATAAAATATTTTTTTTTTTAATTAAATCACTAGGTTAATATTTGTTTTGTTTTTTGTTTTCCAATTTTTTTATTATTATGTATACTAAAAAACACTTATTATTAAGATATTACAGTATAATATTGGCGAACTTTTCAGGGAATTCAGGTAGGACAAAGTAAAGTTCTACTAAAAGCTAAATTTATATTTTTTTAGGTATGCTAACAAAAAGCTTACTAACGTCCTTGAAATTGTAAAGAAGTATTTTAAACGCGTTTTCATAACCTTATGGAATACTTTTACTAATCTAGACAATATAGATTCTAGACCAAAACAGCATATAACTTTGTGCTACAAAATTTTATGCTAGGAATTTTTTACATTTAATATTGATTTCTTAATTTGAATTCAGTTATTATTACTAATAAGCTAGATTTCTAGTTTTAATAATTACATGTTTCAAGACAATTCTGAAAAAAAAAACCTTTTCCACTACCATCAGGAGAAGTCGAAATACCACTAGGAGTATAAATGATCAAAGCACATTATTCATACCCAAAGATCATTAAAAAAAATCAATAATTAAAATCAAGAAATTATATTTGAATCACATAATAATTTTTTGTTTTTTTTGTTTTTCATTTTAGGAAAATTTTTATAGCATTTCAAATTTAGACGGATTCATCGAATACTAATTAGTAGAATTTTAAACAAATATAAAATAAAAAGAAGCAATCGAAAACTATTAAAAATGTTTTCATTAGTAAGAAAAGTAATTAAACCTTCGGTCTACCTTCAAAGGTAAAATCCCCGAATTATAAAAAAATATTTAAAATTATTTTTTTCTTTTTTTTTCATTTCACATTTTTATTTTAAGATTTGGTACCGAACGTTGTATTGGGTCAGTTGTACAGCATTTAAAATTAAAGGAAAGTGAACTGAAAAATGAACCGGTATTGAGCTATGAAAAAAATTCAAAAGAACGTAAAGAATTGGAAGATAATTTAAAAAAGTTATCATCGAAATGTGAAGAAGTACCTATTTATATTGGTGATAAAGAATATAAAACAAATGATATTAGACATCAGGTTATGCCACATAAACATTCTCATAAATTAGCAAAATTTTATTATGCTGATATTAAATTAATAAATAAAGCAATTGAAACAGCTGTTGAAACACAAAAGAAATGGGATAGAACAACAATTGAAGAACGTCTTAGAATATGGGATAAAGCTGCCGATTTAATGGCTGGTCCATATAGGCAAGAATTAAATGCGGCCACAATGTTAGGTCAATCAAAAACTGTGATACAAGCTGAAATTGATTCAGCAGCCGAATTAATTGATTTTATACGGTATATATAGCAAAAAATATTGTTAATTTTATTAACAATATTTTAATTTAATAATTAAATTAATAATATTAATTAATTTTCAAATTTTACAATGTGTTTTTAATTATTTTTCCCCAGTATGAATGCTTATTTTTTGAAAGAATGCACAAAATATCAACCAATTAGTGAGAATATCAAAGTAACAAAAAATTCTTTAAGATATCGCGGCATAGATGGATTTATTGCAGCTGTTAGTCCATTTAATTTTACAGCAATTGGTGGTAATTTGGCATATACCCCAGCATTAATGGTAAAATATATAAAAATTTTCATGATATAGTTAAGTAAAATTTTTACTCACAATTAAAATTTGAACTTTGATTGTGTTTTTATCTCATTACTTAAATAATTATCTATAATCGTCGTCTAATTTTACAGATTAATTATTTTATACTTTAATATTAATATAAAAATTTTTTTTTATTTAATTTAAATTTGAAAAGGGTAACGCAGTTTTGTGGAAACCATCAGATACAGCAGTTTTATCAAATTGGGTAATATTTAAAATTATGCTTGAGGCTGGTGTACCACCAGGTGTAGTAAATTTCTTACCAGCTGATGGACCAGTATTTGGTGATACAATAACTAAATCACCAGATTTTGCTGGTTTAAATTTTACTGGATCAGTTCCGTAAGAATTGTCAAAATTATATTATGTTTTAAACAACGAGTGAATAAATATTTCATTCATATTTTATATTTTTTAGTACTTTTAATCGCTTATGGCGTCAAGTTGGTGAAAATATAAATATATATAAAAATTTTCCACGTTTAATTGGCGAATGTGGTGGTAAAAATTTTCATTTTGTACATCCAACAGCTGATTCTGAAACAGTTGTTACAGCAACAATACGTTCAGCATTTGAATTTTGTGGTCAAAAATGTTCAGCATGTTCAAGAATGTATGTTCCCGAAACATTATGGCCAAAAATAAAATCTGGTCTAATAGAAAAACAAAAAACATTAAAAATTGGTGATGTTAGTGATTTAACATCATTTACATCAGCTGTTATTGATGATAAAGCATTTGCTCGTATAACAAGTTATATTGAACATGCTAAGAAAAGTTCAAATTTAGAGATAATTGCTGGTGGTAATTATTCTGATAAAATTGGTTATTATATTGATCCAACAATAGTTGTTACAAAAGATCCATTGGATAAAATAATGAGAGAAGAAATTTTTGGTCCAGTATTAACAATTTATGTGTATAAAGATAGTGACTTAAAAAAAGCAATTAATTTAGTTAATACATCAACTCAATTTGCTTTAACTGGAGCCGTATTTGCACAAGATGAGTAAGAAATATATATTTTTTATTTTCATATTTTTGTAAATTGTGTTTAAATTAATCCACTGCTTTTTTAATTTGTAGATCATTTTTACGTCAAGCGTTGGAAGAATTTAAAATGGCAGCTGGCAATTTTTATATTAACGATAAATCGACTGGATCTGTTGTAGGCCAACAACCATTCGGAGGTGGTAGAATGTCAGGTATATACAATGTTAATAAAATAACAAGTCCTCCACCGAATTTAATAGTGAATGTATTAAAAAAGTACATACAACAAAGATATTGAACACTTATAATGGGTTCAGACAATCGTGATTACTGATCCAATTCCTCAACCACTTAATAAACTAGATAATTGGTTTAATTTTGATACATTTATACTATTTCTCATGTCATATATAACTTTTTTTAAGAATATTATTTTAATCATGGTCTATATAGTTGTATATATCTAACAACAAATTTTTAATTTTTTAGGTACTAATGATAAAGCGGGTGGACCACATTATATTCTCCGATGGACTTCACCTCAATCAATTAAAGAAACATTTGTTCCACTTCGTGATATTGATTATCCATATATGCGATAAGTTGTGACCACACCATCTAACCAATAAACAATACAACTTTGTTATATTTGAATGAGAAATTAAACTAATCAAAATAATGCAAACTAGAATATATATATATATATATATATATATATATATATATTTTTATATATATAGTATATATTTATATATATATATATATATATATATATATATTACAAATCTACAACAAAGCAAAGAAAACAAAGTTACAATAAAATTCTGTATTATAATTTAAAAAAAAACCAAAACAAATAGAATGTAAAAAAGCTTACCAAATCTCTTGAATTATATTAGAAACGGGAATCTCTTAGTTGTATCTAAAAATAAAAAAAAGCAAAAAAATATATATATGTATATGTATATTACATTAGAAAAAAGCAAAAAACTAAAAAAATGTGTTAAAATATTCAAAGTTCAATAAAGATGAAAGTTAAAATAATTTTTATTAAAAAAAACAAGTACAAAAACTATAAAAAAAAAATCAACGTGCAAAAAAAAAACTAGATTGATTCCTCTTTGTTTGTTTTCTCCTGGTTATTTTATAAAAAACGAACTAAATTTACAAAATTTATAAAAAAAGTGTTAATTATTTTTAAAATTTACATACATATATACATACACTCTCTGACCTAAAAAATGCAATAATACGAGTATGTGTTCAATATGGCACAAGTCATTTTAGGAGTCGAAGTTTGAAAGATGAATTGTGTATAGTAGCAAATAAATGACGACTACCAAAATGCAAATCTAACATCAATTTGACTTATGCACCCATTGAAATTTTATTGCTCAATAAATCAAATTGACGTTAGATCTTCATTTTAATCGATACCCATATAGTATTACTGCAATTTCGAAGTCATTGGTATTATTTTTTTTTTACTTTTTTATTTTATACATTTACTAAGCCTTTTTTTCCGTCTCCTTTTCTCTGTAAACATGAAAAATTATGAAGGAAAGTAAATTTATTTGAACATATCTGTAATTAAAATTTTAATTTAAAAAACAAAAAAAAGGAAAATTTTAAATAGATATTTTATTTATGATATTATTGTAATAATTCTTACTTTCTTATGATTTTATGATTATGAAAATTTTGATTCTTTTAAGAGTCACCACGAATATAATTATTCTTAACTTCAGAATTTGCGGAATACAGTTATTTTAAATAGAACACACTTTAGCCTATATTTAATACCATATTCTTTATCGTATATATGAGCGTATTTCATACTGCATTTTCGAAGTCAGCTAATACAGATTCACGTTTGATGCTTTTTATATTAATTTATCATTACTTTTATATATATTAATTTTTGTTGACAAAATAAACTTGAATTAGATATGCATATATATATGTATACTTGAATTCAATATAATAGTATATATAAAATGCATTTGATTTTATATAGTTTTTTGTACCCAAAATATAATGTAAATATGTTGAAAATGTTATATATGAATATATTTTGATTTTCCGATTTACTTTTATAATAGCACACATGACACTACATTATTTCGAAATGCCCTGTTTTTTTATTTATTATATTTTCCTTTTTGCTTTTTTTTATTGTTTATGATTTTATTTTTATAATTGAGTACATCATAAATATGTAATTACATAATTACTTAAAAATAAATGGCAAAATTTTAATAACAATTTATTTTATAAACAGCTCAGCAATTAAATTCATAAGCTGAATTGTTATATTGATAATGTAAATACTATATATAATTTTATAATATATATAATTTTAAATTTTGTAATTTAAATTTGTGGAGGCTGGCCGTCATTGAGATTATTAAGATATTATTCAAAAACCTGGTGGCATACTATGTAGTGCTACTTTCGCTAAACGATTTTTGCATTTTACATTTTGACACTATGTAAATCGAATATCGCAAATTTACGTATACAAATTTAGCAAAAGTGGTACTACAGAATGCTACTTTCGCATACTTTTCATTCACTTGCCATTTGATTTACGAATCTTATTGCGACTGTCTAAGTTTTTGAAAAAAAAAACTAAACAATTTAAGTGTCACATTTATTTTGCTTTATTAAGTTGAAAAAAACTTACATTTCAAATTTACTGCATTGAATTCAATTTTCGTAATTAATAATTATAATTATGGGTCAAGATAAAATAAAAAACCATTCCGGTTTACGATAATAGTAAAATTCATACACTATGCCAAATTTGTTTTGCTTGTCTTTTCTCGACTTTGTCTCTTTCCAGTTTTATTTTTATGGGCCTTAATTTTTCATCTGTAGCCTTGCAAATTTCGGTTATAATAAGTGAAATGGTTTGCTGAGCAAGAGCAATATTTAAATCTTAGCATGTATAAAAGTTTTTTTTTAACCGTTTCTTTTAAAAAATTAACAATAATCGCTTTTTTAATTTTATATATACATTTAAATGCATGACTACTTTAAAATAACTCAAATGTTTACTTTGAAAAAACTGTAAGAAATGTGAAAAACAGAAAATTTTTGATTTTTAATTTTTACGATATCATTTTGTTTCATAGTACCAAATCAACTTAAGCAATTTTATTTGCAACTTTAAAATTCTATCGCATTTTTACATAGTAGGCCACCTTATTAAATTATCTAAAACATAGAATAATTTTGAGGTCTTGATTATACTCGTACAAGACCTCAAAACTTTTAAATAGATATACTCATCATTTCAACTGTTGAGCTATATTTTATGTATTGGTAAAATATTTTGCAATACAGGCAACAATATTTTGCAATAGATTTTTTTGCTTTTTAAACTCATTTTGTTAAGTACTTCGTTACTGTGGAAGTATTCAATTATTGAGAAAGTACTCAAAAGCGAAAATATAAATCTTAAAAACTATTAAAAAAAAATTCTTACATTTTATAAATGAAGTATTAAAAAAAATAAAATTTTATTTTTCTAGTTTTTTACTAAAATGAAAATTTTTGAGTTACACCAATTTATTATTAAAAGTTGAATTTTTTTCTGTATTGTACAATTTATGCAATATTATATATTAATATAATAATTAAGAGTATACTATAGTAATAAAAATTAGTTGAAAATAAAGTTCCATATATTTTTTGTTGAATTCATTATTGAAATTATATGATAAGTATACATACATATACTTGCTATAAATACGTATTTATAGTACTATATAAACACATATGTGTTTTAGTAAATTTAAATAATCATTCATATATTCTGTTTGACACTCCATCACTTGAGTTGATCGTTTCACATTACCAGCTCATGTAATATACACGTCTAAAGAGGTATTAAAAACATTACTTTTATATAACATAATGATAGTATATTATAATGTGGACGGCGCCGAAATTCATATTTTCAGAAATTTTACCAACATTTTATATTTGAATAATATTTCCATTGAAAATCAATCATGAAAGTTTACTTCTAAGTTTTACCTTTTATGTAAATTAGATGAAAAAATGCCGTTAAATGATTGTATCCAAAGAGACAATTTTTCTAAATTATTAGAATTCTAATTGGGTTAAACTTTTAGTTTCTTTTAAAGCAAAATAATTTATGGTGCTGAAAATTGTTCATAAAATAATTACATAATTTTTCTGAATTAAATTCCAACCCATTCAAAATCAGTTGACTTACATAATCGTGTTTTTTATTGGAATAGTTTGCTGATTCGACTCGATGATTTTTTACAAGATTTTATGATTCATATATACATATATAATATTCAAAGTATGTCTGTACTATTGTAATAGAAAAAAAATTTATATAAGCAGTTATATACATATAAAAAAGCACATATATAATATACTTATATTGTTATATAGTTGATGTGAACTTGAATCTCTTATTTCTTAAATATTTGTTGTATTTGAAATGTAGTCACAAATGCAAATTAAAAGGAAGGTCCAAATTTTCTAAAAAAATTTTATATTTTCAATTTCAATAAATTTTTTACCCATCAAAACAGAAATTTCTTGGTAACATGAATATCCAATCAAGAAATAAATTAAAAAAAATTTATATATGTAATTGAGAGTGGACAAATTTTAATGTAATTAAGTATTTTATTCAATGTACCTATTTCCATAATTCCAAAAACGGATATAATAATTTACTAAAAAAATTTTAATTTTTTCTAATTGCCTATCGAATTTCTTGTTCCTACACGTTTTTTTTTTATTCCTGTTTCGCTCCTGGGAGGAGCATAGGGCTGGTTCACGATATTGTAGATAATCATGAACACCAGTTTCTTACGTCATTGAGTTTACTATAAGTTTACTATAAGTTTTGAGTTTACTAGGTAGGTGACGAGCCTATCTCAGTTTTATATTAATATTTAAGGTTATTGATATTTAATATTTTATTTTTCTGGTATCTTTAATATTGGATATTATTGAAATATGGCAATTAGTTAATATGTATAGTATCATGTAATTTGTATAAAGCTATATAATATTGAATATAATTTTTATAGTGACCTGACTGGGCTTTGAACCCGAGACCCTTCTGTTAAAGGACCAGTGCAATAACCATTGGCGAGGTCATTACATGTAGAGTTTTATATAATTATGATTAGAAAATTAAGTCAACGGCATATACCATATCTTTGATTTCAAAATCAAAATCCATGACGTGTTGAAACAATGTTCCATATAGCGAAAAAAAAAAGAGAATAATAAAACTGAATATGTATATGGATAACGTATATTATAATAACGTTGAAGTCAAAGAATGAATATAATAATGAATACGATGTAATAAACCATTTGGAATTCCATTATTCTCAGCTATTTAAAATTTATTGTTGAAAAATTTAAATTGATGTTAGATATGCATTTTAGTATGTACGCAACTACCCCATGCCCCTTCCTACCAACCATATATATTGCATTATATATATGTATATAGAAATAAGTTTAAAATGCGCAATTTAAAAGTTTCTTCAAAAATTCAGTAATACTTTATTTTTATACGTATAAGCCGAACGTTCTCTTCTTCAACATTCTGATTATAGGTTTGCATATATTGTATTGAATTATGCAGAAACTATAAATTGCTGATTATTATGATTATGTTATTCTGTATAATTATAATAAATATTTATTTTTTAATGTCGAAATATTAATACAAGCTAAACTAACTTCCTTAACTTTTAAATTGTTTAGGTAATGTGAGTATTAAATACACAGTTCAGGTTATGAGTTGGAATTGCTGAATTGTCTATCAATACAGATATTATCTTTTTTTAATTGTTTAATCAAATTGATATTTGATGTTTAAAAAAAGAAACTATTAATAAATGTATAATAAAAATATGGTTATCATTGTTTTCAAAAATGAAGTTATAAACCCTGACTTCAAAATTACACTAATATTGACTTATATAATAATACAGGTTTTTGTGTGAGTATTATTGCTGAATTGTGTATTAATATCTCGTATTACTGTAATTTATAATTGGTCAGAAAAAAATTAAATATTATTGTTCTTAAAATTTATATTAAAAATATAAAGAACAAAAAAATTTAATAAATAAATTGCTAATGATGATGATTAAATTAGAGCAAATTACGATAATTTTACTTGACAATATTCAAATTTTAACATATTCATATAAATCTCCGTATGTGTGATTGCAAAAAAAAAGGAAAAAAAATTATGTTAAAAAATGTTAATGAAAAAGAAAAAGCAAAAAAAAAACAAAAATAACAAATGAATTTGAAATAAAACTGAAAAAAAACCAGATTTGTTTTATTCAATTTTTGTGTATTCACATTATGCCCCGAAATTCGAAATTTAGTAATTTTCCAACTGTAATTTTATACAATGATATTAATAATATTATTTATATAACCTGAATTAGTTTAAGTAATGTAAGCTCTGTGTGTTTTTCAAAATAGAATTCTAACTTTGTAATTAAAGTGGGTATTACAAAAATAAGTACCTTTTTGAGCTGTCAAAATAGTTTTTTTTACAAAGTATACTATTGTGCTTTTTAAAACAAACATCCGTTACTTAATCGGATACCCAATGTCATATTGTCAGATTTTATTCTCATTTCTGCAATATTTTAGGGCCTTACTCACTCACTTCTCGTCTCGTCTAATTTTCTTCCCTCGTTTTTGGAAATATTTGGAATTCTGTATCTTGCAAAATATAAAGTCACAGCGAGTAAAAATGTGAACGGAAAAACACGTCAACTCAAGTATGCTGACATCTTTTTTGACAATATAGTGAAAAAAATTTTGTATTTTGGCAGTATTGTGAAAGAAATTTTAAAAAATATATGAAAAAAAAAAACACTTATTACGTAATTAAGATATGAAATATTATGATATAATATGTAAAAAAAATAAATATATTAAAAATGTTTTTTCCTAAACCAAATTAAAATAATTTGGCTGAGGAATTATTCCATAAGTTTATTTTTAAAGATTCATACGTAGCTTCCGGCTAAATAAGGAGTCATTTACTGATCTTCTAAATTAAATAGAAACATGAAATATGATTATATATAAATTAAATAGAATCAACAAACATTTCACGCCACAGTTATTCCACCAATAATAAGTAAATAAAGCTTAAATTGGAAAAAATGACTAATTAACTTGTATTTAGGCCTGTGACAATAACGTGGTCATCAGATTTATTGATGCGAGACACCCAGGCGCAAACTACGATTCCTTTATTCGGAACACAAGCAAATGTAATGATATTCTTAGAAAAAAATATAAGGAAGGACAAAAGAATACTTGTGAAAGTGGTTACTTGCTAAAATTTGTAATACCGTCCTGCTTTGTACGCTAAAATATTGTTTCATTAATTTTTTTAAGTGATTCGGGTTATCCTTTACTGCTGTATCCGATAACACTTTTTAAAAATGCTGAGGAAGAAAGTTCGAAGAGCCGAAGAGAAGAAAAACCGATTTCGTTGTATTTTTGGAGAAAGAAGCTTACATTACGAGGTAAAAACTGTAACGCGGATAATTAATGCAAACTGTGCTCCCCACAATATATGTAAATTTTATAAAATGCAAGATTCTGATGTAATTTTGTAAACGTCTGAAAATGTTAAAAATATAAGTGAAGCTGATAGTTCGCATAAAATTAACAATATTTCCATGTTGCAACTCAAATAAGAAACAGAATACTAAATTATTTACGTTAAATTATTGCTTTTACTAAAACATTTTTATACTTTAACATTCAAATACATTTAATTTTTTTAATTTCTTAGCTACATTTCAATTTTATCGTCATTTGTACTAAGTTATTGGAAAACTTAAAGGTATTTAATAGAAAACCTAAAACAAAAGAATTCAGTTTATATTTACATAGTATCACATATACATAGATTAAATTATTTGTATATACTGATATAAATGTTTTTAGTAAAACATTAATTACTTTTATATAACATAAAAGACTTAACTAGCTTTCCTTAGGCACTTAAAAGTAAAAACTTTAAAGCTTAGCATCACATATAATGTACATTTTTGGTATTACCATTGACTTTCTAATTGATCCACAGTTAATTGCTTTCTTCGCTTTCTAATTGCTCCACAGTGAACTGCTTTTTCTCTAGCTCCAGTTCCTCATAGCATATTGGGAGGTTTTGTTTTGTATGCCCAACATCTGTTCTTTTATGGCTACTTATTTCTGTAAACTGGTTTTTATACAATAAAGAGAATTCTCTATTTTTGCATTAGTATTAGTCAACTTAGTTTGGATTTGATATTGGTCTTGTAAAAGTTGAATGCGATTTGGTCTTGAATTGCCAGTTTTTGTTTTTGAGTTTCTTTATATTTTTGTTTCTCTTTTACTTCCACTGGTTTTTCTGAATACGAAGTAGATGTCCGACATCCAAATACGTCCCCAGTAGGCACTACCGCTTTATTTAGATGTAACAATGAAGTAACACTTTCCTCCATAGGAGTTAGCTCAATTTCTTTATTTTCCCCCTCATCAGTAGCCTTTTTTCTTATTTATTGTACGTTTATTCTGTTTATTTTTCAAATTCTCCTTTTGAAATCTTTCCACACCTGAAATCGCAATATTTCAAGTATTTTGAATTATGAATGAACATTTTTTCTATGCCATAATTATTTTTGTAATTTGCATTTACCTTTCTCCATTCTTTTGTTTCGCGAGTTGGTGGAGCAATTTAAAGAATAGATTAATTTTGCCAAAAGCCACTCCTAAAAAAACAACGTTAAAGAAAGTGACAGTTTTTAACTCACTTTTTACGTAGGGGTGAGATACACATTCGCATTTTTTGCGAGAGAAATAATAAACTTGTAGTTTATTATCTCACTAGGATTCCAAAAGAGAAATAGAAAATACCAAAATTGTACTCACTCGCTTTTTTCTCAATAAGTGAGCTAAAAATGAGATACATAAGCAGGCTAAGTCACGGAATGTGACCGCACACTTGATGAAATTCAAGGTTCATTATGTTATAATTGAATTTTTTCGCTATACTAATTACGTGCATTATTCATTTTCTCAAGTTGTATTAGTTGGCTGAATTGTGTTTAGAAAGGTAGTTATATTACATTTTTTAAGGTCACAATTTAACATTTTAAAAAACTTTTATTTTTTTAATCCAAGAGATGAAATAGAGGTGCGGCATACAAATCCATTTTTGTCGTATTTAAGTAAAGTTTGTACTGTGTGGTAAGATTGTAATTTTTGCAAATTTATGATTGATTTTTTTTTGTTATATATTTTCATAATTTTATATTTTAGAATTTCTAAATAGTATCTGTGTATATATGTTAGTGTGTTATTTTTGCACTATTCTTAATATTTTCTTAGGGTAATCTTTTAATTTATCGGAAGGATTGTAATCCGTAATAACAATCATCATCAACCGCCAGAAAACAACATTTTAAAAATATGCTTAAAATGATTATAAAGAGGTTTTTGATCGCCTATTTTTTGTGCTTTTTTATTTTTTGTGCTAATATCAGAAATGATTTTATTTTTATGTTGTTTTTCTTTTTTAGAATTCACCAAGCAAATTTTGAAAATTTTAATAAGTATGTTTTTTTCAACTTGGGAAAATTCATTAGGCAACACATAATTAAATTTTTATGTGTACAAATTTTTGTTATATTACATATTTAATATTTTGATGATGACGATTGATATTAAACTTATGGATTTTCCAAAAATTTTATAACAAGGAAGTCGAATTAAAATAATTTGAGAGAAAATAAAGAGACAAAATATAAAACTACCATTTTATATATATTAGAATTAAGAATATTTATTGAGTCTTTTAATTTTAATCAAAAAACCGATAATGCAATATCGAATTGAGAATGTAATTTAATAAATAGACAGTTATATATATATATGTATATATGCTTATATAATATGCTTATATGCTTTTGACATTTTAAAGTTCAAATTTTTAAGAACAAATAGTAAAAGTACTTATAGAGCCTTATTTAATCGGCGAACTAAGTTCAACTTTGGACGAATGTGAACTTTTTGTGTACTATGATTAACGAATTCGTCTACATTTTAAGCGAATAAATTGCTCAAAACTGTTAAATAAAAATTTTATTACGATAACTTAAGCGAATTGAACAAATTTTAAACAAATGAAATCATTCGTTGATCATGATTTGAAATGTCTGCAAAATTCGCTAAATTAACTCGATTTTCCCATAACGAATGGAGGGCCTATAATATAAATTGTATTTATTGAATATATCTTTATTATACGTGTATTCAAATAATTCATTCAATGATGAGCGCAACCATGCAGTCCAGTTAAAAACGGTATTTTAGAGAATTTGGCAACCTTTAAAATCTCTTTTAAAATATTATTAAAAATTTGTTTACTGGAGTATACGTACCAGCTGGTCTTTAGTTACCAAAAGTATAGCAAAAAAAACGTGTATATTTACTTGATTTAAATATTTGAAGAATTGGTAGTTAAAAATGACGCAGTATTGTTTTTCTTTTTAATATTTAAATGAAAAATAAAATGTAAATAATAAAAAAATTAAGTATACACAATTTTTCTTTACCTTTTATTTACTTTTATTTATTATGTTGGTAAAAATATGTACATTATACTTCAATTATTTAAATATAAATATAATGTATATATAAATACGTTATTTGTTTATACATACTCATATATAATAGAACTATATTACTTTCTCAAATTTTAATGCCCCCTATATATAAATTTTTCTAATACTATGTTTTCATCAATTAAAAATTTTATGCATAATTTGCATAAAGCAGATTTAATCCGAAGTACCTAACATGTATTATAGCATAATTCAGGGTCTTATCATGATTGTCTAAGAGAATGACACTTTTTTTTGGCGAATATGAATTTTTGAAGATAATTACTGAACTTGCCTAAGTTTTAGGTGATTGACACTATTGAATGAAAATTTTGTGTAGCAAGCTGCTTGGCTGAAGAGAACAAAATATTTTGATTAAACAAAGTATGTTTTAAAGTTTATGATAATTGAATTTTCGGTGTTTTGAAATATAGAAACGTTTTCGTTCATGCGAAAATGTCGTTCCCTCGGATCATGATTTGAAATCATGCAAAAAATCCTTAGTTGTAATTCAAAAGAGAATAATTATCGAAATATTATAAGCAAATTTAGTTTTGTATTGAAAATTTTAATAGTAATCCGTGAATTACTAACTCCATTGGCCGTTGCCAACTTAACTGAACCTAACCTTTGGTTATTTTTTAAGATAACAAAAATGTAATATACAAGTAAGGAAAACTTTATGTAAAATGCAAAAGGTTGATTTGTACAACAGAAAAAGTAAATTAATTGTAATTGTTATTAAAATCTTTATAAAATTAACAATAATATGTAGTAATTGAAAAAAATTATAAAATTTTTATAACCAAATGTTTCAAAAATGAAAAGTTGAATTAAATGTTGAAGAATAGTTTATTAGCACTAATGTGTGTACATTGCCATGCTTAGACGGGTTTTATACATTTTATATGATTTGAGTTAGTTGAACCGAACCACAAATTTTCAGGACTCACACAAATAGGTTAGTGATAATTTTTGTTACATGTAAGCATATATAAACACTTTAATTTGTATATATAATTCTAAAGCTAAATTATAATTTCTAGAAGCTAGATTATAGAATGAACAGAATTTCAAGAACCACGTGGACGTGGAGGAATGCGGATTATTTTGAAATGCTAATTAGATATATGCTACACACTCCAAAATTGTTGGATATAAAGCAAAAATGTCTTTAAAATAAAACATAATCTTCTCCTTTATTTTTTAAATAGCACACTTATGTTACGTGCGGGATGTTTAACATTATTATATGCGAAATATTTTTGATTATAGATTAAATTTTTTTTTAGAACAGAAAATTCGATAAACACTGTATTATGTAATGGTTTAAAAGTGTGCAATGAATTCACTAATAATATCTATATTTATAATTAAACCAAATTTAAGATAGAAGCAATTGAAATTTAGTGAACAGTTTAGTAATTGTTTTTCTTAAGTTGCAATTTTTGAATTTTTAATTAATTTTTATTTAATAGTAGAAAATTATGTATTAAATAGTATTTAATACTAAATAAATGCAATACAAAAATTTTTTGGGGAGTTAATTCAGCAATTAAACATGCTTAAGCTGAATATAAACGTTCACCTGGAAAATATTGTTTTAAAGTATTTTTAAATTTGTTTTTTTTTCTTTCCTCTAACTTGACGTATTTTATACACTTAAAATGAAAAATATTTTTTCCTTTTGTTATTATTTATTATAATATTTGATTAAAAATAAAATATGAAATTTAAAAAAAAAATTAGTTATTTAATGTATAAGAACAAAATAATTGTTGTATATTCGACATGAAATTAAATTTTTTTTGTAAATATTGTTTATTTTGTTTTTTTTTTTAAATTCTCATATGTATGAATTATACGTTTAAATATTAATATTTAAAATATAATTGAATATAACCACATACAAAAATTAAAAATTAAATAATAAACAGATGTCAAAACTAACCTTGAAATTTTTATATTTTAAAACAAATTTATTTGCGAAATTTAATTATATTTATATATATTCATTATGGGTACATATGTATGTGTGTGTGTACATTATTTTTTTATTTGCTTTTTTCCTTTTTTTTTAATATTAAGTTAAAAAAAAGGGATTCTTAATAGAAAATTACACTCAGAAAAATTGTAATGCTAAAAAAAAATTTCAGAATTCTTAGCTTTAATTTAATTTTACGAAAAACTTAATTAGATTTAAAGCAAAAATTAATGTATTAATTGAAAACTATATATATGCGGGGTGTTTTGCATAAGGTGACAAATAATTTTAGAGTTGTATCTTTGATTAACTTCAAGCAAAACATTATATGAGGGTGGGGTGGAAGAGGTATAGATATACTCGTTTTCGAGCTACAACCTGTTAAAAAAAAGGCACCAGATTTTTCCTACATATAAATAAATTTTTACAACTTCAGAATTATGCGGCACAGAGTTACCATCCGGGACTGGTTTCCGAGGCGATTAATTGCTCTTTACTATCGGTCTTACAATCAATTAGATTTGTGTCATAGTTTTCGAGATAAAGCTCGTTAAAATCCTTGAAATTATTAACTTATGCGTGGCACCCAGTATATATACATATATATCAATGATTGAAATATCTATATATATAGTTACGATTGCAATTTTGAGAAACATTTAAAAAGCAATTATTTTTTGAGAATACCCACTGAATAGATATTATGTTTCAAAATATTTACACCTTCAATGTTTTGTCCTTCTTGAAACAGTTCTCATCGCCTAAAAAAAAGGGTATTAATAAAAATTTCAGCAGTTACAACTCAACCTGAATTGTAACAGCTGAACTTTGAAATCAACAATTTTAGTTAATAAACTTTTTCTCAGTGTAAAGAGCTTTCAAAATATTTTTCTACCGGTATAAAAGCAGTGAAATTCGATAAAATTTGTATAAATATCATCTTAACTACCAAACTTATAACAAGTCAAGATGATTTTAAAAGTATCCAAATTTGCTTTCGTCCTTATTTCGAGTAAATTCTCTTTTAATGTAATTACATATATCTGTTTTAAAATTTTGTGTTTTTTCTAGTTCTATTGCTGGTCGACTCCAGCGTTGGAAGACCTCAAGCTCCAAGCGGCTCCGCGAGTGCAACATCAGCCGGAACTACATTTTCACCTTCTTCATCTGGTGGCGGTTCCGGAGGAGGCTCTTTCCCACCATCATCAACGCAAGTGGCACCTACAAGCGCTGGAGGTGTACATATTTCAATACCTCCACTCCCATCAGCTAGCAATTTTATGCTTTTACTCATCAATAACATTGGTAAAGATTTTCGCTAAAAATTTGTAAAATTTATTCGATTAAAATTTATGTATTTTACTTGTTACGAATACGCAGGTTCATTCTTCCAAAGCTTGTTAGACATAATTATGAATACAGCTCAATTACTTCCTTGCCCGCCACCCACAACACCCACAACACCCACAACACCCACAACACCCACAACAACAACACCTTATACACCCACAACACCAACAACAACAACACCAACAACAACAACACCGACAACGACAACACCAACAACAACAACTCCAACAACAACAACACCAACAACAACAACTCCAACAACAACAACACCAACAACAACACCAACAACAACAACACCAACAACAACAACAGCAACAACAACAACTCCAACAACAACAACACCAACAACAACAACTCCAACAACAACAACACCAACAACGACAACACCAACTACAACAACACCAACAACGACAACACCAACAACGACAACACCAACTACAACAACACCAACAACTACAACTACAGGAACAACTGGTATTAATTTCAAACCATTATACAAAATATACAATAGCACACAATTTTTTTGCTTTCATAGTTCCGACGACGACTCCAATAACCCCAACAACACCAACGACGACCTCAACTACTACTACAACACCAACAACAACAACACCAACAACAACTACACCCACAACAACCACGCCTACAACAACCACGCCTACAACAACCACGCCTACAACAACCACGCCTACAACTACCACGCCTACAACAACCACGCCTACAACTACCACGCCTACAACAACCACGCCTACAACAACACCAACTACTACTACACCAACGACAACTACGCCAACAACAACAACACCAACAACTACTACTCCGACTACAACCACACCTACAACAACCACGCCTACAACAACACCAACTACTACTACACCAACTACAACTACGCCAACAACTACTACGCCAACAACAACAACACCAACAACAACTACGCCAACCACCACTACGCCAACAACAACTACACCAACAACAACTACTCCAACTACAACTACACCAACCACTACAACTCCAACTACCACTACACCAACAACAACTACACCAACAACAACCACACCTACTACAACAACTCCAACTACCACAACACCAACAACAACTACACCAACAACGACTACACCAACAACAACAACTCCAACTACAACCACACCAACCACCACAACTCCAACAACAACTACTCCAACTACCACAACTCCAACTACCACAACTCCAACTACCACAACTCCAACTACCACAACTCCAACTACCACAACTCCAACTACCACAACTCCAACTACCACAACTCCAACTACCACAACTCCAACTACCACAACACCAACCACAACTACACCGATAACAACAACTCCAACTACCACCACACCAACAACTACAACACCAACCACTACAACTCCAACCACAACTACGCCAACGACAACTACACCAACCACAACTACTGCTACTACAACTACACCCACCACTACAACTCCAACAACAACTACTCCAACAACAACTACTCCAACAACAACTACACCAACCACAACTACTCCAACAACAACCACACCAACAACCACAACACCAACTACCACAACACCAACTACAACCACTCCAACTACAACAACTCCAACAACAACCACACCAACAACCACAACACCAACCACAACAACTCCAACTACAACTACACCAACCACTACAACTCCAACTACCACTACACCAACAACAACAACACCAACCACTACAACTCCAACCACAACTACGCCAACAACAACTACACCAACTACAACTACACCAACCACTACAACTCCAACAACAACTACTCCAACAACAACTACTCCAACAACAACTACTCCAACAACCACAACACCAACTACCACAACACCAACTACAACTACACCAACCACCACAACACCAACTACAACTACGCCCACGACAACAACACCAACAACTACTACACCAACAACTACTACCCCAACCACAACGACGCCAACAACAACTACACCAACCACTACAACTCCAACCACTACAACCCCCACAACAACAACTCCAACAACTACCACACCAACTACTACTACACCAACCACAACTACGCCTACAACAACTACACCAACTACTACTACACCAACTACAACTACACCAACCACAACAACACCAACAACAACAACTCCAACAACAACAACTCCAACAACAACTACACCAACAACCACAACACCAACAACCACAACACCAACCACCACAACACCAACTACAACTACACCAACCACAACAACACCAACAACAACAACTCCAACAACAACAACTCCAACAACAACTACACCAACAACCACAACACCAACAACCACAACACCAACAACCACAACTCCAACTACTACTACACCAACTACGACAACACCAACCACAACTACGCCTACAACAACTACACCAACAACTACTACACCAACAACTACTACCCCAACCACAACTACTCCTACTACAACTACACCCACCACTACAACTCCAACAACAACTACTCCAACAACAACTACTCCAACAACAACTACACCAACTACAACAACTCCAACTACCACCACACCAACCACAACTACACCGACAACAACTACCCCAACTACAACTACTCCAACCACCACAACTCCAACAACAACTACTCCAACAACAACTACTCCAACAACAACTACTCCAACAACCACAACACCAACTACCACAACACCAACTACCACTACACCAACCACAACTACGCCCACAACAACTACACCAACAACAACTACTCCAACAACAACAACTCCAACAACAACAACTCCAACAACTACCACACCAACTACTACTACACCAACCACAACTACGCCCACAACAACTACACCAACAACAACAACTCCAACAACTACAACTCCAACAACAACAACTCCAACAACAACTACACCAACCACTACAACTCCAACCACTACAACTCCAACAACAACAACTCCAACTACTACCACTCCAACTACTACTACACCAACTACTACTACACCAACAACCACAACTCCAACTACTACTACACCAACTACGACAACACCAACCACAACTACGCCTACAACAACTACACCAACAACTACTACACCAACAACTACTACCCCAACCACAACTACTCCTACTACAACTACACCCACCACTACAACTCCAACAACAACTACTCCAACAACAACTACTCCAACAACAACTACACCAACTACAACAACTCCAACTACCACCACACCAACCACAACTACACCGACAACAACTACCCCAACTACAACTACTCCAACCACCACAACTCCAACAACAACTACTCCAACAACCACAACACCAACAACCACAACACCAACAACCACAACTCCAACTACTACTACACCAACTACCACAACACCAACCACAACTACGCCTACAACAACTACACCAACCACTACAACTCCAACTACTACAACTCCAACAACAACAACTCCAACAACTACCACACCAACTACTACTACACCAACCACAACTACGCCCACAACAACTACACCAACAACAACAACTCCAACAACTACAACTCCAACAACAACAACTCCAACAACAACTACACCAACCACTACAACTCCAACCACTACAACTCCAACAACAACAACTCCAACTACTACCACTCCAACTACTACTACACCAACTACTACTACACCAACCACAACTACACCAACCACTACAACTCCAACTACTACTACCCCAACCACCACAACACCAACCACAACAACGCCAACAACAACAACGCCAACAACAACTACACCAACAACAACAACGCCTACTACAACAACACCAACTACAACTACACCAACCACTACAATTCCAACCACTACAACTCCAACAACAACAACTCCAACAACTACCACACCAACTACTACTACACCAACCACAACTACGCCCACAACAACTACACCAACAACAACAACTCCAACCACTACAACTCCAACAACAACAACTCCAACAACAACTACACCAACAACCACAACACCAACAACCACAACACCAACAACAACAACTCCAACTACTACCACTCCAACTACTACTACACCAACCACAACAACACCAACCACTACAACTCCAACTACTACTACCCCAACCACCACAACACCAACCACAACAACGCCAACAACAACAACGCCAACAACAACTACACCAACAACAACAACGCCTACTACAACAACACCAACTACAACTACACCAACCACTACAACTCCAACCACTACAACTCCAACAACAACAACTCCAACAACTACCACACCAACTACTACTACACCAACCACAACTACGCCCACAACAACTACACCAACAACAACAACTCCAACCACTACAACTCCAACAACAACAACTCCAACAACAACAACTCCAACAACAACAACTCCAACAACAACTACACCAACCACTACAACCCCAACCACTACAACTCCCACCACTACAACTCCAACAACAACAACTCCAACTACTACCACTCCAACTACTACTACACCAACTACCACCACACCAACCACAACTACGCCTACAACAACTACACCAACAACTACTACACCAACAACTACTACCCCAACCACAACGACGCCAACAACAACTACACCAACCACAACAACTCCAACCACTACAACTCCAACAACAACAACTCCAACAACTACCACACCAACTACTACTACACCAACCACAACTACGCCTACAACAACTACACCAACAACTACTACACCAACAACTACTACCCCAACCACAACGACGCCAACAACAACTACACCAACCACTACAACTCCAACCACTACAACCCCCACAACAACAACTCCAACAACTACCACACCAACTACTACTACACCAACCACAACTACGCCTACAACAACTACACCAACTACTACTACACCAACTACTACTACACCAACCACAACTACACCAACCACTACAACTCCAACTACTACTACCCCAACCACCACAACACCAACCACAACAACGCCAACAACAACTACACCTACAACAACAACGCCCACTACAACAACACCAACTACAACTACACCAACCACTACAACTCCAACCACTACAACTCCAACAACAACAACTCCAACAACTACCACACCAACTACTACTACACCAACCACAACTACGCCCACAACAACTACACCAACAACAACAACTCCAACAACAACAACTCCAACAACAACAACTCCAACAACAACTACACCAACAACCACAACACCAACAACCACAACACCAACAACCACAACTCCAACTACTACTACACCAACTACCACCACACCAACCACAACTACGCCTACTACAACTACACCAACAACCACAACACCAACTACCACCACTCCAACTACTACTACACCAACTACTACTACACCAACCACAACTACACCAACCACAACTACACCAACAACTACAACTCCAACTACTACTACACCAACTACCACCACACCAACCACAACTACGCCTACTACAACTACACCAACCACTACAACTCCAACCACAACTACGCCAACAACAACTACACCGACAACAACAACTCCAACTACAACTACACCAACCACTACAACTCCAACTACAACTACACCAACAACAACCATACCAACTACTACTACTCCAACTACCACAACTCCAACTACTACTACACCAACCACAACAACACCAACAACAACTACGCCAACAACAACAACACCAACTACTACTACTCCAACAACAACAACTCCAACTACAACCACACCAACAACAACTACACCAACAACAACAACACCGACAACAACAACTCCAACTACAACCACACCAACAACAACTACACCAACAACAACAACACCAACTACTACTACTCCAACAACAACAACTCCAACTACAACCACTCCAACTACAACTACACCAACCACTACAACTCCAACTACTACCACACCAACCACAACTACTCCAACAACAACTACGCCAACAACAACTACCCCAACTACTACTACACCAACCACAACCACGCCAACAACAACAACACCAACTACTACTACACCAACCACAACCACGCCAACAACAACAACACCAACTACGACTACTCCAACCACAACTACCCCAACTACAACAACTCCAACTACAACTACACCTACTACAACCACACCAACCACTACCACACCAACGACAACCACTCCAACTACAACAACCCCAACTACAACTACACCAACCACTACAACTCCAACTACTACCACACCAACTACAACTACTCCAACGACAACTACGCCAACAACAACTACACCAACTACTACTACACCAACCACAACCACGCCAACAACAACAACACCAACGACTACTACACCAACCACAACCACGCCAACAACAACAACGCCAACCACGACTACGCCAACAACAACTACGCCAACTACAACAACTCCAACTACCACAACTCCAACTACCACAACTCCAACTACCACAACTCCGACTACGACAACACCAACTACTACCACACCAACTACAACTACCCCAACAACAACTACGCCAACAACAACTACCCCAACTACTACTACACCAACCACAACCACGCCAACAACAACAACACCAACGACTACTACACCAACCACAACCACGCCAACAACAACTACGCCAACTACAACAACTCCAACTACCACAACTCCAACTACCACAACTCCAACTACCACAACTCCAACTACCACAACTCCAACTACCACAACTCCGACTACAACAACACCAACTACTACCACACCAACTACAACTACTCCAACTACCACTACACCAACCACTACAACTCCAACTACTACCACACCAACAACAACTACTCCAACAACAACTACGCCAACAACAACTACACCAACTACTACTACACCAACCACAACCACGCCAACAACAACAACACCAACGACTACTACACCAACCACAACCACGCCAACAACAACAACGCCAACCACGACTACGCCAACAACAACTACGCCAACTACAACAACTCCAACTACCACAACTCCAACTACCACAACTCCAACTACCACAACTCCGACTACGACAACACCAACTACTACCACACCAACAACAACTACTCCAACAACAACTACGCCAACAACAACTACCCCAACTACTACTACACCAACCACAACCACGCCAACAACAACCACACCAACTACTACTACACCAACCACAACCACGCCAACAACGACAACACCAACTACGACTACTCCAACCACAACTACGCCAACTACAACAACTCCAACTACCACAACTCCAACTACCACAACTCCAACTACCACAACTCCGACTACGACAACACCAACTACTACCACACCAACTACAACTACGCCAACTACCACTACACCAACCACAACTACGCCAACTACAACAACTCCAACTACAACTACACCTACTACAACCACACCAACAACTACCACACCAACGACAACCACTCCAACTACAACAACCCCAACTACAACTACACCAACCACTACAACTCCAACTACTACCACACCAACTACAACTACTCCAACAACAACTACGCCAACAACAACTACACCAACTACTACTACACCAACCACAACCACGCCAACAACAACAACACCTACTACTACTACACCAACTACAACTACACCAACCACAACTACTCCAACTACCACAACTCCAACTACCACAACTCCGACCACGACAACACCAACAACAACTACACCAACTACTACTACACCAACAACAACAACTCCAACTACAACTACGCCAACTACCACTACACCAACCACAACTACGCCAACTACAACAACTCCAACTACAACTACTCCAACAACAACTACACCAACTACTACTACACCAACCACAACCACGCCAACAACAACAACACCAACTACAACTACACCAACCACTACTACACCAACCACAACAACTCCAACTACCACAACTCCGACTACGACAACACCAACTACAACTACACCAACAACAACAACTCCAACTACAACTACGCCAACTACCACTACACCAACCACAACTACGCCAACTACAACAACTCCAACTACAACTACTCCAACAACAACTACACCAACTACTACTACACCAACCACAACCACGCCAACAACAACAACACCAACTACAACTACACCAACCACTACTACACCAACCACAACTACGCCAACAACAACTACACCAACCACTACTACACCAACCACAACCACGCCAACAACAACAACACCAACTACAACTACACCAACCACTACTACACCAACCACAACTACGCCAACAACAACCACACCAACCACTACCACACCAACGACAACCACTCCAACTACAACAACCCCAACTACAACTACACCAACCACTACAACTCCAACTACTACCACACCAACTACAACTACTCCAACGACAACTACGCCAACAACAACTACACCAACTACTACTACACCAACCACAACCACGCCAACAACAACAACACCAACGACTACTACACCAACCACAACCACGCCAACAACAACAACGCCAACCACGACTACGCCAACAACAACTACGCCAACTACAACAACTCCAACTACCACAACTCCAACTACCACAACTCCAACTACCACAACTCCGACTACGACAACACCAACTACTACCACTCCAACTACAACTACTCCAACAACAACTACACCAACAACAACTACCCCAACTACTACTACACCAACCACAACCACGCCAACAACAACAACACCAACGACTACTACACCAACCACAACCACGCCAACAACAACAACGCCAACCACGACTACGCCAACAACAACTACGCCAACTACAACAACTCCAACTACCACAACTCCAACTACCACAACTCCAACTACCACTACACCAACCACTACAACTCCAACTACTACCACACCAACAACAACTACTCCAACAACAACTACGCCAACAACAACTACACCAACTACTACTACACCAACCACAACCACGCCAACAACAACAACACCAACGACTACTACACCAACCACAACCACGCCAACAACAACAACGCCAACCACGACTACGCCAACAACAACTACGCCAACTACAACAACTCCAACTACCACAACTCCAACTACCACAACTCCAACTACCACAACTCCGACTACGACAACACCAACTACTACCACACCAACTACAACTACTCCAACAACAACTACGCCAACAACAACTACCCCAACTACTACTACACCAACCACAACCACGCCAACAACAACCACACCAACTACTACTACACCAACCACAACCACGCCAACAACAACAACACCAACTACGACTACTCCAACCACAACTACGCCAACTACAACAACTCCAACTACCACAACTCCAACTACCACAACTCCAACTACCACAACTCCGACTACGACAACACCAACTACTACCACACCAACTACAACTACGCCAACTACCACTACACCAACCACAACTACGCCAACTACAACAACTCCAACTACAACTACACCTACTACAACCACACCAACAACTACCACACCAACGACAACCACTCCAACTACAACAACCCCAACTACAACTACACCAACCACTACAACTCCAACTACTACCACACCAACTACAACTACTCCAACAACAACTACGCCAACAACAACTACACCAACTACTACTACACCAACCACAACCACGCCAACAACAACAACACCAACTACTACTACACCAACTACAACTACACCAACCACAACTACTCCAACTACCACAACTCCAACTACCACAACTCCGACCACGACAACACCAACAACAACTACACCAACTACTACTACACCAACAACAACAACTCCAACTACAACTACGCCAACTACCACTACACCAACCACAACTACGCCAACTACAACAACTCCAACTACAACTACTCCAACAACAACTACACCAACTACTACTACACCAACCACAACCACGCCAACAACAACAACACCAACTACAACTACACCAACCACTACTACACCAACCACAACTACGCCAACAACAACTACACCAACCACTACTACACCAACCACAACTACGCCAACAACAACTACACCTACTACCACTACACCAACCACTACCACACCAACGACAACCACTCCAACTACCACAACTCCAACTACCACAACTCCAACTACCACAACTCCGACTACGACAACACCAACTACAACTACACCAACAACAACAACTCCGACTACAACTACGCCAACTACCACTACACCAACCACAACTACACCAACTACTACTACACCAACCACAACCACGCCAACAACAACAACTCCAACTACAACTACGCCAACTACCACTACACCAACCACAACTACGCCAACTACAACAACTCCAACTACAACAACACCAACCACAACTACTCCAACAACAACCACGCCAACAACTACCACACCAACAACTACTACACCAACTACTACCACACCAACCACTACAACTCCAACTACTACCACACCAACTACAACTACACCAACCACTACTACACCAACCACGACTACGCCAACAACAACTACACCAACCACAACTACTCCAACTACCACAACTCCAACTACCACAACTCCGACCACGACAACACCAACAACAACTACACCAACTACTACTACACCAACAACAACAACTCCAACTACAACTACGCCAACTACCACTACACCAACCACAACTACGCCAACTACAACAACTCCAACTACAACTACTCCAACAACAACTACGCCAACAACAACTACACCAACTACTACTACCCCAACCACAACCACGCCAACAACAACAACACCAACTACAACTACACCTACTACAACCACACCAACCACTACCACACCAACGACAACCACTCCAACTACAACAACACCAACTACAACCACACCAACCACCACCACACCAACGACAACCACTCCAACTACAACAACACCAACAACAACTACACCAACTACTACTACACCAACAACAACAACTCCAACTACAACTACACCAACTACCACTACACCAACCACAACTACGCCAACTACAACAACTCCAACTACAACTACTCCAACAACAACTACGCCAACAACAACTACACCAACTACTACTACACCAACCACAACCACGCCAACAACAACAACTCCAACTACAACTACGCCAACTACCACTACACCAACCACAACTACGCCAACTACAACAACTCCAACTACAACTACTCCAACAACAACTACTCCAACAACAACCACGCCAACAACTACCACACCAACAACTACTACACCAACTACGACTACACCAACAACAACAACTCCAACTACAACTACGCCAACTACCACTACACCAACCACAACTACGCCAACTACAACAACTCCAACTACAACTACTCCAACAACAACTACTCCAACTACCACAACTCCAACTACCACAACTCCAACAACCACAACACCAACTACAACTACACCAACCACAACAACGCCAACTACAACTACGCCAACTACAACAACACCAACCACAACTACGCCAACTACAACCACACCGACTACTACCACACCAACGACAACCACACCAACAACAACAACTCCAACAACCACCACACCCACAACTACCACACCGACAACCACCACACCCACAACTACCACACCAACAACTACCACACCAACGACAACCACGCCAACAACAACAACTCCAACTACCACAACTCCAACTACCACAACTCCAACTACCACAACTCCAACTACCACAACTCCAACTACTACAACTCCTACTACCACAACACCAACTACAACTACACCAACCACAACTACACCAACAACAACCACGCCAACAACAACAACTCCTACAACTACCACACCAACAACAACTACCCCAACTACAACTACACCAACCACAACTACGCCAACCACAACTACGCCAACCACAACTACTCCAACTACCACAACTCCAACTACCACAACTCCAACAACCACAACACCAACTACAACTACACCAACCACAACAACGCCAACTACAACTACACCAACTACAACAACACCAACCACAACTACGCCAACTACAACCACACCGACTACTACCACACCAACGACAACCACACCAACAACAACAACTCCAACAACCACCACACCCACAACTACCACACCGACAACCACCACACCCACAACTACCACACCAACAACTACCACACCAACGACAACCACGCCAACAACAACAACTCCAACTACCACAACTCCAACTACCACAACTCCAACTACCACAACTCCAACTACCACAACTCCAACTACCACAACTCCAACTACTACAACTCCTACTACCACAACACCAACTACAACTACACCAACCACAACTACACCAACAACAACCACGCCAACAACAACAACTCCAACAACTACTACTCCAACAACAACTACTCCAACTACAACTACACCAACCACAACTACGCCAACAACAACAACTCCAACCACAACCACACCAACTACTACTACACCAACAACAACTACACCAACCACAACTACGCCAACTACAACCACACCTACTACTACCACACCAACGACAACTACACCGACAACAACAACACCAACAACAACAACACCAACAACAACGACACCTACAACTACAACAACAACCACCACTACTCCAACTACTACTACAACTACTACTACTACAACTACAACTACAACTACGACTACAACCACAACAACTGCAATCCCAGGTGTATGTGCTCAATTAGTATCCGGCGAAGGTGGTTATTGCTACTTCTCTTCATCAACTGCCATGGGTTTGATGAACCAAAGGAATTATTGCCAAGGTATGTGAATTTCGATTTATATCAAAGTATTATTACAGATTTATGAAATATTTTGTGTTTATTTATATATTTTGTGATTTATGAAATATGTTTAAGCATTTCAATAATTTCAAATATATTGAAAGCATTTCAATAATTTCTGATTTTATGGAAATTCAGGGTTATTGGAATCCTATCCTAATTTAAATATCTAGGCAGCAATAAACGGGTAATAATGGGTCTCTGTATACTTGCATAATCAACGCCGGGAAGATTGAACATATAAAGTTAATTGTACACAATTGAAAGCAGCAACTGCTATATTTTTACCGACCGTATTGTGTATACAATAGGTAGGTGATGTGATGGCCACAAATTTTGTATATCGAGTTTTCGGTGGGAACGCACTTCTCCATAGTAGGGAAGTGTAAATAAACTAATTTTAGCAACCTGTCGGTCTGTCGGTCTGTCCGTCTGTCGGTCTGTCGATCTGTCGGTCTGTCGGTCTGTGTGTGTACGCGTGTATTTCAAGTTCTACTGAACCGATTTTTATGAAATTTTATATGTAAGTTTATTTCCACTATGTCACTGATTGATCAACTTTTGGGATATATCAGGCCTCGGGAACTGCACTTTTTAGCGGGCCTGTTTTACATTTTTGAACATTTTGAAGAAACTATTCAACCGATTTTCTTGAAATTTCATATATAAGCTTCGCTCGACCGGCCCCAAAACCTCCTAACTTTTGGAAGAAATCAGGCGTCAGCAACTAGACGTTTACTACGGGCCAAATATACATTTTTGCGTATATAAAGAGAAATAATCAACCGATTTCATTGAAATTTAATATATGAATTCCTCGTATTAAAGCAATGAACAGATAAATTTTTTGGAAAGATCAGGGCTCGAAAACTGATCTGCGGGCCGATTTTACATTTTTCACCATATCTACGGAACTAATTGATGAAATTTCATGAAATTTGATATTTGAGTTCTGGTTGTTACCGAAACTAACTGACGAGCATTTCAGGGAATTCGGGTGGCACAAAGTGAAACTCTATTAAGAGCCAAATTTACATTTTTCTAGGTATGTTAACTATAAGCTTACTAATGTCCTAAAAATTGGAAAGAGGTAATTAACAGGCATTTTTATAATATTCTGTAACACTTTCACTTAACTAGACAATGCACAATACGGTCGGTTATGTGCTGACCACATCAGATTTTTTTTTATGGGATCATACAATTTAAAGCTTCCTTTGAAGCTTAAAATGCTGCAGCGTTTACGTATAAGTAAATTAAGGAATCAAAAAATTTTTTGGTTTAATAGCCTCGGGATCTCAGAATTGCAGCATTCATCTTTTGTCTTGTAATTACTGATTGCATATTGTACTTTACTACTTCAATTTCTAAGTCACAAACATTTAAAAGCGCTCAAAATGTATTAGGGTGGAATAGAAATAGAATAGGAGCCAACTGCAATATTACAAGTATACAATCGATTCACAATATTCAACGAATTCATGTTAATTAAATGTTTAAAAATTCATTATTTTTTTTTTTTTTATTTTTTTGACAAAATATTTTTTTTTAATTTATTCAATAAATAATTTAATATTCTTATTTTATTTTCATTTACAGATTATCAAACAGTAGCTGCACCAACTTCAAGTTGTGTATCAACACCATGCCCATGTGTCAAACCACCACAAATTCAAGGCTCAGGCTAAATAATATACGTAATTATGAAAATATAAGTCATACGAATATAAATAGGAATATATAAGAATATATCTCTATATATATATGTCTATATATATATATTGTATATATATTATTAAAATATTATATTAATAAAAATTGTACAGTAACAGGATGTTTCAAATAAAGGCTGTGTTGTAAACGTTGAAAAGAGAAAAAAAATTCATTATTTTTTTAGTATTTAAGTATTGTTTATAGTTGTTCACCTGACTCTATCCAATTTGCAATAGCTTGATGTTAAGTCATAATTCAGTAATTAATATTCATAATTGTGTATATTATTGCTTTTATACTGCAATTTTGGAGTCATTACAATTTTAAAATACAATTTTGTGGAGGTGGGACTTACTAATGGTATTCGATATCTGGGGTTTATCTGATAGTTGTATGTTTTTATTACAAATATTTGTTTATAATATTTGTGATAAAATATTTGTATAAAATAATATTTTTATACATATATATTTGTATAAATTGAATTTGATTTTAATATATACATTTTCAATGTAAATGCTACACCGTTTACTAAAACACGAGAAAAATAAAGTACACGAGAGGTAACAAAATGTTGCAAATTCTTATATATATATTGTACTGACGTTATATTATATATATATATATATATATATATATATATATTATATATATATTATATATTTATAAGTTTTATAAATAATAAATGCAGTTAGAAATTGATATATAAAAATCTCTGATCACAACAATAACTAATACAAGATTTAGTAACTAACAACTTATAAGCTAAATAATGTATTAATGCTAGTATACTTATTATATTATTAAAGTAAGGATTTAATTAATAAACAAGATTGCAAAGATTAGAGGTTGCAATATATAATTTTTTATTATAATTCAAATTTTGAATGATTAGGTTCTTTGGTTCATATAAAAATGGGGAAAGAAACAAATGTATATATTCAGTTTGAAGTCTATCTTCAATTTGAAGTTTATTCAAAATATTTATTTTTTTTAATAGTTATAGTGCTATATTGTTAAACCCAGTTTAACATTTCTTCGCATTTAAACTACGTTTAAATTTAGTTTTCGTTTTTTTTCTAATATTTAATGTAAAATTTATATATATTTATCAATTATGTTAACACGTCTCGGGCCCTTCCCCACTCCCAACTCTTCTCTTAGTTTTATCTCTCTGAGATAAAACTAAGTACAACACAACATTAAATTGTGTGCTATTTGTTTATGTACTTTTTTAAATAATATTAAATTAAATATTAAAACAGTTTTATTTTAAATAAATAATAAGAAAATATTTTCTAATAGATAAAGTTCTTGATATGGCAGTTTTATTTTGCTCAGTTTTAAAAATTAGAAGAAAAGAAACAAAAACAGTTGTGGCAATAAAATAATATTTTAATGTGTGTGTTTTTTTTAGTTGAATATTGAAATAAATAAAAAATTTTATTTACTTAAAATTATTGTTGTTTGTTTTTCGCGTTCAATATTTATTCTACGAAATAAAAAACACCATGACCGTAATGCTAGTTGATTCAGAATTAAATATTTTAATAATTTTTTTCTAAAATTAACTTCCTATGTGTAGGATTTTCTTTGACAATTTAGAACTACATAATATTATTAGTTTTTAGTTAAAACATCTAAGTAGAGTGTGAAGTATTAGGAATTACAATTTCCTAATAGTTCAGTCAGTAATATTAGTTATTATTAAGTTAGAATAGCATTTTCAAAAACACAGTAATATGGTTTATGGAATGGTATAAGGGACTAATGAATTAATTGATTCAACTCTATTAGAATAAACAAAATTATTAAATAATAACCAAATTCTAATTAAATTTATTTCAATTTTTTAATGTTTGAATGAATTTGTTCTTAGATAATGATTGTTCTCTTTCATAAATAAATATTTTTAATCATTTATTACTTATTATTCTATTACCTAAATTCGGAATAATTATTAAATTATATTCTATTTTAGCTAAAATGTCTATTAAAAATTCATTTTCCTTAAGGGATATTAATTATGTATCAAATTTAAGCTATTTGCTATTGGGGTACAGCACATAATTGAGCTAAGTTTACAAAATTTTCACAAATGATTTATTATAGTAAATGCCTGAAGCCTATTAAAGCTTTATATGGTTCGAGTAGCGACCATACAACTTCAAAATTTATTTGGCTATATCTCAGAAACCATAGAAACTATTCAAATTTCACACAAACGAATATATTATTAGGTCCGTTCTATTTGATAAAAGTCATTGAAATTGCTTGGCTCCTTCTGGTAGCTGATATACAACTTGAACAGTTATTTGTATATATCTTGAAAACTATTCAACTTACAGTACTGAAATTTTTAAAAATAAAATAAGGTAAAATGGCAGCTATATTCATTGAAAGTTGTTGAAATCTTACGAGCGCTTGTTAGCTGCCATACAACTTCAAAAGTTATTTGGCATTATTTCAGAAATTATTGGAGCTATAGTATAGAAATCTCGTGAAAACAAGGATATTATTAGGCCTGTTACATGTTATAAAAATTGTTGAAATTTCTTGATACCATATGGTAGCTGTCATACAACTTATATAGTAGTTTGGTCATATCTTAGAAAATATTGAAATCACAGTGCTGAAGTTTTGCACACATTTATAGGGTAATACGGCAACTTAAAATCATAGTTTGTCACATAGTCAGCTATGGCATGTTTACTCGTACATAGTACAAAAAATTCAAACGGGTATCACAAAGTTATTAAGTTTAAATAGATTTAATAGTATATTTCCTAATCGATTTCGAATTTAACAATAGAGAAAACTTATTTTTTACAATTTTAATTTTAATGAAAGTAATAGGCGATCATGAATGATAGCAAGCAAAAACGTAATTTTCTGACCTACTTTCTACAATTCCTGCTCGCCGGGTATTTTATTAGAAAAATATTTAATTTTTTGCTTCTTTTCACAATTTAAATTTTAAAAAATGTAGTTGGAGATCATGAATTATAGCAAGCAAGAACGTAAAATTCTGATCTACTTTCTACAATTCCTGCTCGCCGGGTATTTTATAAGAAAAATGTTTAATTTTTTGCTCCTTTTTACAATTTAAATTTTAATGAAAGTAATAGGCGATCATGAATGATAGCAAGCAAAAATGTAAATTTCTGATCTACTTTCTACAATTCTTGCTCGCCGGGTATTTTATTAGAAAAATGTTTAATTTTTGCTCCTTTTTACAATTTAAATTTTAATGAAAGTAATAGGCGATCATGAATGATAGCAAGCAAAAATGTAAATTTCTGATCTACTTTCTACAATTCCTGCTCGCCGGGTATTTTATAAGAAAGATGTTTAATTTTTTGCTCCTTTTTACAATTTTAATTTTAATGAAAGTAATAGGCGATCATGAATGATAGCAAGCAAAAATGTAAATTTCTGATCTACTTTCTACAATTCCTGCTCGCCGGGTATTTTATAAGAAAAATGTTTAATTTTTTGCTCCTTTTTACAATTTAAATTTTAATGAAAGTAATAGGCGATCATGAATGATAGCAAGCAAAAATGTAAATTTCTGATCTACTTTCTACAATTCCTGCTCGCCGGGTATTTTATAAGAAAAATGTTTAATTTTTTGCTCCTTTTTACAATTTCAATTTTAATGAAAGTAATAGGCGATCATTAATGATAGCAAGCAATGATCGCCGGGTATTTTATAAGAAAAATGTTTAATTTTTTGCTCCTTTTTACAATTTCAATTTTAATGAAAGTAATAGGCGATCATTAATGATAGCAAGCAAAAATGTAAATTTCTAATCTACTTTCTACAATTCCTGCTCGCCGGGTATTTTATTAGAAAAATGTTTAATTTTTGCTCCTTTTTACAATTTAAATTTTAATGAAAGTAATAGGCGATCATGAATGATAGCAAGCAAAAATCTAAATTTCTGATCTACTTTATACAATTCCTGCTCGCCGGGTATTTTATTAGAAAAATGTTTAATTTTTTGCTCCTTTTTACAATTTCAATTTTAATGAAAGTAATAGGCGATCATGAATGATAGCAAGCAAAAATGTATATTTCTGATCTACTTTCTAAAATTCCTGCTCGCCGGGTATTTTATTAGAAAAATGTTTAATTTTTTCCTCCTTTTAACAATTTTAATTTTAATGAATGTAATAGGCGATCATGAATGATAGCAAGCAAAAATGTAAATTTCTGATCTACTTTCTACAATTCCTGCTCGCCGGGTATTTTATAAGAAAAATGTTTAATTTTTTGCTCCTTTTTACAATTTAAATTTTAATGAAAGTAATAGGCGATCATGAATGATAGCAAGCAAAAATGTAAATTTCTGATCTACTTTCTACAATTCCTGCTCGCCGGGTATTTTATAAGAAAAATGTTTAATTTTTTGCTCCTTTTTACAATTTCAATTTTAATCAAAGTAATAGGCGATCATTAATGATAGCAAGCAAAAATGTAAATTTCTAATCTACTTTCTACAATTCCTGCTCGCCGGGTATTTTGTTAGAAAAATGTTTAATTTTTTGCTCCTTTTTACAATTTTAATTTTAATGAAAGTAATAGGCGATCATGAATGATAGCAAGCAAAAATGTAAATTTCTGATCTACTTTCTACAATTCCTGCTCGCCGGGTATTTTATAAGAAAAATGTTTAATTTTTTGCTCCTTTTTACAATTTCAATTTTAATGAAAGTAATAGGCGATCATGAATGATAGCAAGCAAAAATGTATATTTCTGATCTACTTTCTACAATTCCTGCTCGCCGGGTATTTTATTAGAAAAATGTTTAATTTTTTCCTCCTTTTAACAATTTTAATTTTAATGAATGTAATAGGCGATCATGAATGATAGCAAGCAAAAATGTATATTTCTGATCTACTTTCTACAATTCCTGCTCGCCGGGTATTTTATTAGAAAAATGTTTAATTTTTTGCTGCTTTTTACAATCT